GGGGGGGTAGTTCACACACTGGCCTACGAACCCGGCGACCTCAGTTCCATTCCTGGGCACAGCTAATATTAGTGTTGAATGTTATCTGAACCAACCCTCGGCCACTACATTTGAAGCGCTGTAAATGGGTCGCGCTACTTACCTGCAGTTGCGAACGAGGTCCACCAGTGGCAATACCTGGGACCGGTAAAGGGGCCGCTAGATTCCCCAGCTCCGAGACAAAGGGGGGCTGCGGGGTGTGCTGGGATCCCCCGGGACCCCCCTCGGACCTCTCTGGAAGTAAGGCGTGGCCGGGGGCGGGTACGCCTCCAGAGCTGCCGGACCTCTGGACGGCTCAGGAGCCAGTTGAAGACTGAAGCCCAGATAGCTAGGACCCTGGGAATCACCTAACCCGCCGTCCTTGTAAGGGCCGGGACCGAACGGGCCAGTTGTGCAACCCTAGAACCGTCGGGGCCCGCCGTCCTTGTAAGGGCCGGGACCGAGCGGGCCAGTGGTCGGGACCTGTACCTTGGCTGGGTCAGGTCAGAACAGCCTTCCCTAGGTCACCCCTAGCCGGAGGACCCAGAGACCGTGGCCCCAGTAGTAGGGCACGTCAGTCCGGAGGCGGTACCTCCTTAGGCAGCGGGTGAAGGGGCCGTAACCCCTTCAAGTGTTAAGGGTTGGCTACGCACTGTATCGTAGCCATTGTTAATAAACGTGGTGCCTCCAACCGTTCGTCTCCACCCTCGTGAAAACCCACACTACACATTCACCAAACCAGACCAACCAATGTGGTGAAGTATGGTCAAACTCCCTCCCCCCCCCCCCCCCATGACCAAATTGACACGCTTCTGCGGCCGTCTAGAACTCTCTTCCTTCCGATATTAGGAAGCCACTGGAGCTATGCACTTTTAAATCTGGATTGAAAACTCATTTGTTTAGAGGTGCTTTTTGTGTTTAGTTTGTTGTCCTTCCCACGCATCTCTGATTAGCACGGTTGGCTACATAGGGTGCGAAAGAAGTTAAACATACATACATAGGAGAGGCCTTCATGTAGCACAGGACTGACAAAGCGCTGTGAATTAATATAACTGTATTTTCTGGATTATAATGTGTTCCCGGTGTCAATAAAGCTATGCAACTCTGGTCACACACACACCTACCAGATTATAAGACAGACCCTCCACATATTATTTAAGGTAGCGTACAAGGGAAAAGGTCCATCTTGTAACCTGGAGAAAACGACAGTATACAATTATCATTGCGTAACGCGAAGTCGTCTCCCAGAAGTGATAAATTCATCTGTTATATACATTTATAAGCTCCGATCGTAATTTCCGTGCATCGATGCGGCCAAATAGGCTCTGTCGGATCGATAACCCTCCAGGTCGGCGCAAACAAAGAGGCACATTGGGATAGAGGCGGCGTGAGCTCAACTCCTGGTCCGTTGTTGACCAAGCCCTTTGTCCGATTGGGATCGATCAAATCGGTGGCATGCTGGGGGAAAGTAAAAAAGTGATCGTGCCGAGATGCTTCTCCTCGCCAGAGGAACGGGGCAAATTTACACCCAAGTGTTGTAAGCAAGATGTCCAAGTCTTTCTATGATGATCTTTTTGTTTGGTCATTGCAGAAATAAATAAAAAAATCCAGCTTGAGTTCTATAAAGCGTGATTACATGACACGCCTGTTAACCAGCTTGGCACCCAACCCAACTTGCAGCACCAAACAGACACTGATTGCCACGATGGCCCAATCTCACAATGTTTTCACCATCACGATGATGACACTCTTTTTTTTGTTTTACCAGTTAAGGGCCACTAAGCGATGTAGCTCCTTTTCAGAAGCGACCTTGCTACAAATGATAGCTCAACAAAGTGGCTTATCACGTGCAATTTATAGCGGCCAAATACTCCTGACGCATGTTTCTAAATGTGGAGGGAAAACACCGGAGGACCCGAGGAAAAATCCACGTGACCACGGAGAGAAAGAGACACGCGCAAACTCCAAATATACAGCAGGCATCGTCAGGGTCGGGATCGGACCCACGACCTCCTGCACACCACGCGATGGAGTTAACATCTCCTAGCCACCGTGATGACGATGAGCGAGAGACACGCGCAAACTCCAAATATACAGCAGGCATCGTCAGGGTCGGGATCGAACCCACGACCTCCTGCACACCAGGCGAGGTAGTTAACATCTCCTAGCCACCGTGATGATGATGCTGAGAGAGAGAGACACGCGCAAACTCCAAATATACAGCAGGCATTGTCAGGGTCGGGATCGGACCCACGACCTCCTGCACACCAGGCGATGGAGTTAACATCTCCTAGCCACCGTGATAATGATGCTGAGAGAGAGACACGCGCAAACTCTAAATATACAGCAGGCATCGTCAGGGTCGGGATCGAACCCACGACCTCCTGCACACCAGGCGATGGAGTTAACATCTCGCCATTGCAGCACCCTGGACGGATGGCAAATCAGCTGGGCAGCATTGAATTATGAGCCCTCGTGGCTACACGATATGGGCTGATGAAGAACAGTTAATGCAGTTGCCACGCAGTCAGGATCCTGGTGTCCTAGTTTACCCTGCTTGATGTAAGCAGGGAGGCGTAGCAGAAACGTCACGAACACACAGTACTTTCATAGGCAAGTTTGGATATTAAATATTTTAAAAAGTACAAGACATCCAGAATCCAAACACAGGCACGAATGTTGTAAACAAAATTCCAAATGAGAAAATGACCTGTTTATGTTTTCACATATTTAATATTAATTACAGGTCAGTGACCGCTAACAACAATACCAAGTTGTGTGTTTAATATGCCGTTATTAATTTTATCATTTCACTGAAGCACCTTGAGTAAAATATTATCTCGTTAGAGTCTCGCTAAAGATACATAAAGCATGTTGCGAATAGAACAAGATGTAAATGATGGTGTACTTAATCATCATTTTGCATATAAAATATATTAAATATGTTGACATATACCGCAGTATAGCAAGCTAATAATTCAGAATTGTGAGAACAGGCTCATGGGAAAACAATTAAGAATGTGTGTAGGATCCATGAAAAAAGCGTCACTGAGTCTCAAGACTTGTTTTCAGGAGGGTCCTGCAATGGGACGTTTGCCCAAACCGTTATTATTTTGGCACATGGGAGGAAACTTGACTACCCGGGGAAACTCCACACATACAAAGAAATAACATACAAAAAAACATCGTGTGGAGGAAAAAAACAGCTTTAACTGTCTTCAATGGCCCCAGTATTTTGAAGGCAATACTGAACACTGTCAAGTTCAGTAATAATTAATGCTCTTTGGCAGTACGGTTTTTTTCCGCTCCCTCTGCTCTCAATGGCCATTACAATGTTTCTGCCAACGCATTTATTGAGGGTTAATCTAAAATCCAGTTGCGCACGTGGCCTGCCGCCAGCAAATGGCCCATACAGCTCAGCTATTACCAAAACAGCAGCATCAGCAGCACCAGCATTGGTAGCAGCAGCGGCAGTAGTACATCTGTAGCCAGGGGTACTGTAACGACCTCAGCAAAAGCAACGGAGCAGAAGCAGCAGCAACGTCTGCAGCAAAATCAGTTACAACAGCAGTAATATCAGTAGCAGAAGTAGCGACTTCCTAGCAGCAGCAGCGACAACAGTAACGTCGGTAACAGCTGTGGCAAAGTCAGCAGCAGCCGGTGGCAGAACCATTAACTATGGTGGCATCAGTGGAAGTGGCAGCAGTGACAACTATTACACATTAACTTCCGAAGCAGGAATATGGCCATCAACAATCATCACTTGTGGGTGACAGGCACCATGGACAGATTTACAAGGTGGTGCGGGATGCGTAGCTGTGGCAACCCGCATGTCCAGTTTCAGAATATGTATTCATACTGGTTAAATTTAAAATCACAGTTCCTATGATTACTGTTGTTACATTGTTTTTGTAGCTTTATTTTGGTCTGGTTGTGGTGTAATATTTTTCTGAAATGTAGATTCATATTTTGTTTGTTGACATTGCACCCGACTTAAGAGCCGCATGGCTCACAGGGCTATACCTAATAAATGAAACTTGAATCCGATGAGCTATAAAGCTTCTTTTTCCACAGATGCCCAGGATAGGACACGCGGTCAGAACGTTACAACCACAAATACAAAAACAAGATAGGAATGCAAAGGTATAGGAAGGGTAAACAATCGCTTAAAAATATATATATCCAAATTAAACAATTTTTTTTTATCTTACCAGGTAAAGCCCACCGAGGTTATTAACCCATTTTTCAGAAGTGTCCTGGCCACAAATGATAGCACGACAAAGTGGCGATACAATGTGGAAATTTATAGCAGCAAAAATTATCTAAGCAAGAGCCATGAACAATCAGTGGAGCTGTCCAATTATTCCCAAGTACCACAGTGCTACAACCACCACAAGCGCAGTGGCACCAACCCATCCACCACCGCGTTTGAATCCCACCGAGGTATTAACCCATTTTTGAGAAGCGACCTGGCCACAAATGATCGCGCCACAAAGTGACTATATCAAGTAGAAATTGATAGCAGCAAAACTAATGTAAGCAAAAGCCATGGGGGTCCACGTGAATAACAATGAGTGGGGCTGTCCAATAATTCCCAAGTACCACAGTGCTATCAACCATCACAATAACGGTGGCACCAACCCATCCACCACTGCGCTCGAATCCCACCACCGCGAATCCACTCACTCACTCACCATCACCACCACTCACTCACCACCACCAGCATCACCACCATCCCTCACCCCTCACTCACCACCACCAGCATCACCACCATCTCTCACTCACCAGCATCACCACCACCATCCCTCACTGACCATCACCCCTCACTCACCACCACCAGACTCACCAGCATCACCACCATCACTCACTGACCATCACCCCTCACTCACCACCACCAGCATCACCATCACCCCTCACTCACCACCACCAGATTCACCACCACCAGCATCACCCACCACCACCACGGCAGCCACCAGCCTCACCTGCAGCAGCTCCCTCTCCACCTGCTCGGCGCGCACCACGATGGGACCCCTCACGGCGTACTCCACGGCGCGCACGTTGGGGTTCATGGACTCGACGGTGAGGCCGCCCCAACGCCCGGGCCGGCCCGGTTCGAGCCCCGGTCCCTCGCCGCGGGCGGGCGCGGGGCTCTGCGTGGAGGCGAGCGGCCTCCGCGGCTGGGACGCGGCGGGGACGTGCGTCGTGCAGAGCCTCGCCATCAGGAGCCGGAGTCCCGACCTTCCCAGATCCATGCTGGTTGTGTGTGGTTGTTTGTCTGATTGCTGTGAACTCTGTGTCGCCTGCTATGTGCTGGCGATCGCGTGTCGTCTCGATGTGTGTTAGTGTGTGTGTGTTAGTGTCTGCAGGTCGTAGCGCTGTGTACAGTTTACACGTGTGTGGTGTACGTGGAGTCTATGCAGTTAGTCCTGTGTGTGTGTCAATATAGGATGATACAAGCCCAAAGCAGCGTATACTATAACCACCAATAATATACCGATAAACTATAGTATTGACCCCAGAAAGTGGTGCGTGCGCGGTGTTTGGCGAGTGAATGAATGGATGCGTGCGGTGTGCGACCGTGTGCCTGTATAAAATACTCACAATGTATAACACGCGCACACAATGTTTGTGTATATACACCGTGTGCTGTATTAAGCGTGTGAAATCACACTGTATATGTATCTGTGTGTAGAATCTAACATTATAAACGTGTGTATACGTCAAAATACACGGTGTGTGAACGTTAATATACAGGTTGTGTTTGAATGGCGATGTGTTATATATACACACACACACGGTGACACAGTATATGTGTGTGTGGGTCACGAACACGCTGTGCCCAGGACAATAACTGGCGCTTTGGTGATGGACTAAACAGCAACGCGGCGTGGGAGGCGGAGCGATGCCTTGGCTCAACCCCCCCCCCCCGGCAAAATAAAATAAAGACGTGAGACCAGTCGTGTTGGATGATGTAACCCGGTCGTGATGTCTGTCCAGTGAATGTCGCTTCACCCCACTCACTTCTTCCCAGCTTAGAGTCAAAGTCTATGGCCCCGCTCCTAACCTTCTCCCCTCCTATTGAGTCTCTTTACCCCTTCCCCTGGCCAAGACGAGACACAGGAGATGCAACAACGGCTTGTTCAATTCAGGCAGCCGTGTAAATCATCTAGGCCGTCACGTCCGGCATTCTTAAATACACCGCAGTCGACACACACACATACAAGACAGGAATATTAACCGTACAACGTAAATATTATCGGCAAGCGAATGGTGCGTTACCGGTACTGTACTGTAATTATATTCGCTGTAAATAATGTATACAGTGGTCAACACGATAGGGCGCAACAAGGCAATACAACGGTATGATAAATACAATAGGGTATACTCGATACAATGGTTAAAAAATCAATAGAATAAAGATATATACCGTAAGCTATACGAATGGTAAAACGTTCAGTGAACAGTCGCCACTATCCAGTATACAATGACTGTACTGTATTGACACGTGTGCTGAGCCGGCTGCGGTGGAGGGACAGGGGCGGGGCCAAGCTTGTGGGCGGAACCGAATGAAGGAGGGAGGAGTGGCCAAGTTGTAAGGAGGCGGAACCAGGTTATGAAGTGGGCGTGACCAGGCGGTGAAGGGGTGGGACCAAGTTGTTGCAGGTTCGGGGCTAAGTTATGAAGGGGGGGGGCAAGTGGTGAGGGGGCGGGGCCGAGTAGAAAGGCGAAGCGAATCAGAATCTTGTATTTATATTGCAGGAAAAATCCGATTAGCTACAAAGATGTGATTCCGGACATACAGTACCATGGTGTCTACAAACTAAGTTGCCTCTGTGGTAGTAGTTACATTGGAGAAACCAAACGACATGTCTCGGACCGCATCCGTGACCACAAAGCAGACCTTAAACACGGTAGGACCAACACCTCGGCCGTGGCAGATCACTCTTATAATTCAGTAGGCTCACATGACATTGACTTCTCAAAGACAGAGGTTCTTTGCAAACCATCTGGCTACCATGAGAGATTCGTTCACGAGGCTATCCACATATACAAACACAGAGACAATTTCAACCGAGAAGATGGATTCTGGCTTAGCAATCATTGGAAGGATTTGATAAACCATTTCGGGTCTTAATTGATTGTTCACGCTTACGGTGGCTTTCAGACAGCATACATTAATTTTTAGTCTCCCCCCTCTTTTCCCAATATAGATGGACTCGTCCTTCTAAACAAACTGCCAAATCTCTCTCCGTGGCGCTAACGTTAAAAAATAAAAATAAATACTAACCACCACTTCTTTCAAATGTTCTTGCCGTTGTTTTTTCACACCTGATGACTGTTTGCGTTACAGTCGAAACGTCGTGAGAATGTTATTGTTTTATATATAGTATTATTTTATTGTTTCCCTTCAACGTGACTTTACCGAAAGAACCAAGAATATAGCTACAAAGCTCTTTTTCACAGGGCACAGGGTTAAAACGTTACAACAAGAAACAATTTAAAAAAAAAACACGACAAACAGTGCAAAGTATAGGAAAGGTAAACAAATCACACAAAAAAATATACAAATACAAACTAAAACCATCCCCATCCTACCAGACAAAGCCCCACTGAGAAGCGAGGGGCGGGGCCACCTCGGGGGGAGGGGGGGTGAAGTCACGTGGCGATGGGGGGGGGTGCAGAAATGCCAACGCGCGCTGCCTCCTGCGATTCTATTGGCCGAGAGAGGCCACGTGAGCCCCATAGAGGGAGACGCACGCCCCCACGTGCCGGCTGAAATACCACGTGCGAAGCAAATCAGCTGCTGCGCACGTGCGAGACACGGCCACGCGTTAACCATGGCACGACAGAGTTTCAGTTTCATTTATTTGGTATAGCCCTGTGAGCTCTCATTCGGCTCTTGAATCGGGTGCAACCGCAACAAACAAAAAAAACAGACACATGAGCACACTGCCGTGATGTCACTGTTAGTCGAGTACATGAGACTTATAATCCACAGTTCGATGCGATATCCCGCTGGGATATGCGATATGTCGGCGGGGCGGTTGAAATATTGGACACGTTTCTTAAATCCCACCACCGCCTCTGTCCAACCCATCCGTTATAAATGTGTACACCCAGAGTCGAAGGGGAAGGCAAGTGGGTTGGCGAAAAGGGTGGGGTGCAGTACTCCCGCATTGACCAAGGGGCCGTCCATAAATGACGTCACGCACCTGGGGGGGGGGGGGGGTCAGACATTTGTGACGATGTGTGACGAGGGGGGGGGTTGAGAAATGTGACGTCACATAAAAATTATCAAACAACACGTTATACTTGATTGAATAGACTTTTTAATACATTTTTTTCTCCTACAACATCAGAGTGCAGCGCCACATTAAATACGCACTACAATGACAATAGTTTAAAGCCATTTGAAGCATGATTAATATATATTTTGTGGGGGGGGGAGCAGAGGTTTGTGACGTCATATTTGAGGGGGGGGGGTCTGACTTTTTGTGACGTCGTGTGACGAGGGGAGGGGGGGTCAAAAATAGTCCAAAATCGCGTGACGTCATTTATGGACGCCCCCAAGACGTCTGTGGCCTGTCCCGTGTTGGAAGAGCAGGACAAATACCCGGTAAATTGGTCCTATAGCGCTCCCTAGCGACCTCGCAGACGCTCTGCCGCCAGCGGTGGCATGGGCAAGACATTGCAGGGTAAATGTAATTACAGTTGCCAATGATTATGCCGATTAGATGCGCTGTTTGATGTGGCAATTATTCACAATTGCACCCAATAAAATGAACAATAATGCAAAATAAATTGGTATGACAGCTGATTTAAAACAAAACCCAGAAACATGGCCAATCAAGATGAAAATTTAACAAAAGGCTGAAAAGTGTGCAAAAAGATGCTGGTAATAAAAAAAAACATTGTTAATGAGACACGTGGGATGATAAAAGGCGCGATGACGACAACGGGCAAGATCGCGAAGTGGGATTTGAGCCCTGACGCTCGAAGGCGAGAGCAGAATCAGACTCTTCACTTCGACTGCGGGAGAAATCCGATAAGCTAGGAAGCATCTTTTGTTCACAGGTGTCCAGTATTGGGCGGGTCAGCAAGTTACACGCAGCAAACGACACAACAACAAAAACAACGGTGAGAGTGCAACGTTGAAAACAAATTGTAAGCAAGTCACTAAATATAAATAAATAATATGGGCAGGGGTTTAAAAGACCGAGTGGCAACCAAATTTTTAGTTTAACACGCAGCAGGCTTTAGCGACCAATATTAATAATAAAGGTTTTTGGGTTGGATAGCGTAAGTATACCATAAATGTGTCGAAACCCTCCACCACCCGACACAGCCAATTAGTAAGGGATTTGTCACGTAAACAAAACTCCAAATAGTTACTGCTTCAGCCCACCGGTGTGTTGGAGAGTAAATCAACACATTTATACTAATGCGATTTAACCCAAAAAGCTTTATTATGGGCAATTGTCTTTATTTACAAAGTAAGGCACACTGAGCTATATAGCTATTTTTCAGAAGCGACCTGGCCACAAATGATAGCTCAATTAAGTGGCTTATCAAATTGAAATATATAGCAGCCGCCAAATACTCTAAACACATGTTGATTCTAAACGCGGAGGGAAAACCCCTGAAGACCCGGAAAAAATCCACGCAACCACGGGGAGAGAGAGAGAGAGAGACACGCAAACTCCAAATATACAGCAGACGTCGGGATCGAACCCACGATCTCCTGCATACCAGGCGAGGGAGTTAACATCTCTGCACGCCCGTGAGGACGTCTACCAAAGAGAATGAAGTGGCGAGCTCAACGCGTGTGCAGGAGCTATACGGGATTGGTCGTTGCATCGCACGGCCGTGAAAGACACCGACAGCTCGGGGAGATCTTCATTCAGCGGTGGATAAATCATAGCCGATGATGATGACACCCCCCCCTTATCCAGGGTGGCGTATCACACGTGACTTGATAGCTCCATCATCGCAGCGTAATCCACCAACCCTGCCTCGTCATCTTCGCTGTAGTACGGCGGTTGGAGATCCTCGGGCAACGGACGTGGTGTGGTGGGACTAGCGGCGTGATAGACGACGTTGCGAGCGTCGCGGGAAGGAATGCTGCCGAGTTGGTGGTGGATGCGAGTGAAAGTGACCCAAGTCGCGTGATCTATAAGGTCAGACAGCAAGGCTCAATCGCGCCGCGTGGCGGTCCGTGTGGAGGGAGTCACGCTTTGTGGGCGTTATTGTACAAGGGGGTCCAAGAATGTCTTGCGACCCCCATTTAATTCTCTAAAACGTAATTTGTGTTGTTTTAAGTAAGGGTTTACAGTATTTAAAACAGAAATTAACATGCAAAAAAATTGGGGGGAAACTTAATTGTGGGTCACACGCATAGGTGGAGTTTGACTTTTTACAGGGACTATCGTTTTTAATGGAAAACATGATAACAAATGTAATGTTAATAGCTTCAAAAAGTCAAAGAGTCTCCACTTGTTCGCCATCGTTGTCAACGCGTGCCCTGGAATATTCTCCAGGTGGTCTCCAGAGCCCGGAGGCACGTTTCTCGTGGTGTTGTTGCAAATTCTCAGAAGATTTAACATTTTTTTGAAGTACCCTGTATTTGGGGGGGGGGGGGGGATAGAGGTTCCCTTTGTCCCTCACATTAGGAATCGCGGGTGCATATAATTTAAAAAAAAAATCTTAATTGTAAACTATTGAAATGTTTTTCTTTTAAATGTGTCCGCCCATGGTCACAAGGCATCTGGACCACCCTGTACATTGAGACAGGAACACGTGGTTCAGAGAAAATGGAAACGAACTTGGCCGTTGGTCAAGACGAGCAACTGAGCGGCAGCCAAAGGGGCGAAACAAGTCTGACAGAGCCAGGGGGAAGATGGGAATATTTGACCGTAAAAGTTTAACTAAGGAACCTTGCACCTGCACGTCTCATCTCTCATCCCTATCTTGTCTGCAGCTCTCATCTCGCCGCATCTCTGCGTCTGGTTCACTCCGATTCGCACCTCCGGTTAGCATGGTTGGCTACGTACGGTGCGAAAGAAGTTCAACGTACATCCATACCACATTTCTCTCTCGCCTGTATCGCTTCTGTCGTCCCAGTACATCTCTGTTGTCTAAATATTTCTAGCTCCACCTACATCCGTATCTTTAGTCTCTCGTCTCGCGACGTCTCTGTTATCTATGCAGTCTCTCTTCTGTATTTTCACTCGGCAATGTTAAGCATCGGGCTCCAAATGGGCCACAGAATCCATGGATCCCTTCTCCTGCCACCCTCCCACCCACCGGACTACTCGCCACTCAGTGGTGTGGTCTCCCATCACGTATTCTACTTCACTATGTAACACGATTTTTGTTCCTGGGTAGAAAGTGTTATTTTCTAATTGCTTATGCCTCAAACGTATATAAAATGTCTATTATTTCGCGCAAACTTTGCTTTTGTGACCAGGACTTTACGTGAAGGAATGACACAAATGCACACCACGTTTTCTCAATGAAAATCGGTAAATGTAAAAATATTACTGTCCTGGTCACAAAAGAAAAGTTTGTGGGCAATAATTGAAATTTTTTGTACTTTTGAGGCATAAGCAATTAGAAAATAACACGTACTATCCAGGTACAAAAACAAAATTGTTACGTAATTATTATCATTATTATTATCAATCAGCGAGAGCCGGCAATAGCGAGGGAGCGAGTCGCGGAGACGGGCCCTCGATCACTCCAATCAAGGGTCGCACACCCGCAAATTAGCGTGGGTTAACTCCGGGTTAATTACGGGCCCAGTCGGATCATCGCTGGTGTGCAGGGGC